TAAAAAGAGAAAAAAAACAGAGTTAAAAAAAAAAAAAAAAAAAAAAAAGAGGTATTTGGCAGTTTCATCTATTTTCACGTGTATTGTACAACAAACATTGATAGAGACCATGAGCTGAAAAGCCACGGATGGAAGCATTTCAAGTGATTTCCTCTCAGCTTTACAGGTTTGCTCAGAATTTGCAATTTGCTGCAAACAAAAGCAACAAAGAGGAAGAGTCTTCCAGAGGTTTCCCTCTGACTGCACTTCTCATCTCATACTGTCTTTAGACTTTGCATGCCAACTGATTGTTGCCTTGTCTCTTCAAAGATAACTCCTCCATGTTGGGAAATTCTTTACTTAGGATGGAGGAGAGGGAGGTTAAGCAGTTAATGAAATGAAGAGACAGACCAGTTTCTCTGGGTAGGACTATAAATAGTTATTCTCCACCTACCTGACAAGCCGATTGGCCCTGGGACCAATTTGCTAAATTCTACATAAGGAATCGTGCCCATTACGGAGAAAAGAAGGAGTACAAAGACTCCTAATAGGATCTACTCATTTTCACCTCATGATGAATTCTGTTTCAGGTATCTTAATACATATAGTCCCAAGATCATGAGCCATTTAGTGAAATTTCTTGAAGTTTATTTTAATTTTCACAGTCAGTAGTCAGTATTTTTCTGAAACAGTATGTAGCTTCTCATAAGACTGAAGCTGAACCCATTGGCAAAGCAAATAAGAGTAAGAAAAAAAAAACATTTTGAAATACTTCGAGCAAGCATAGTAAAGGCTGCACAAGAAGCCCACTGTTTTTGAGAATACTGTCTGAAAGTTAGATTAGACCTCACATTTCACTTGTCTCCAGAGATGAAGGTGAATGCAAGCTACATTTCCTACTAAATAATTTAATATGATTTGATAGCTTTCTATGTCCAGTTCATTAGGAGAAAATAGAATTTTCAACTTCAGTGATCCTAGCTAATCTATCTTTACATAAATAGACTTACTAGTATATTACCAGCTAAAAAATGGCAGGCTGCAGAGACTTAGGCATCTCTGCAGTTCACTCCTTTACCCAGACAACTCTCTATTATAGCAGGAAATATATACTGGTAGCAAAGAGAGAACGCTCCAGGTTTTGTCATATTCAGCTTGATAAAAGAAGATAGTCTCCCTAAATTTTCTTTCTTTTGAAAGATAATACAAGACAAAATATTTTCCTCTTTGAAGGGCGGGGGGGAACCTGGGTTAGTATGACAAAACTATTAACACTAACAGCAGCATGCAAACATTACTATTCCTATTTGCAAATAAGTGAAGATATGAGCAGCGTGATGGAGGTTAAAGGACGACTCTGCAATGCAGTGGGTGGCACAGCCCCCTGCCCTGCATGTTCATTACTAGCATATATCTTTCTACAAGTATCTCCTCCACTCTTCATCATGCCTTTCCCAGGCAAGGAGCAGGATGCCTCAGAGGTGCTGCAAGGGTGGACAGAGGCCCCCCTGCAGTGAGGGAGTCTACCCAACCACACAGCCATGGCTGCAAGGTGATGATGCAGAAACCCATGCTGCCCATGAGGGTGATGCATGTACCCTCTATCCCTGATCTTCCCCTCTCACCTGAGACCCCACATCGCTCAAGGATTGCCCAGGCAAACTGTGGTACCTCCAGTGTTGGGCTTTTCAAGAAAGCACCAAGAACAACCATGGTGCCTTTCATCCTGCCCTGGAGCAAGGGCAGGGACTGGACAACCTCCCAAGGTCCCAAACAGCCACCCCCTGGGTTATCTTTTTTCACCCTTTGAGAGCTCAGACAGTGAAGGGAAACAATGTCTTCTGATAAATGATTTGCCTTGGAGATGTGTCAGAGTCAAGAATCAAAAATTTCTGAGTCTTATCCCAGTCCCTTAATTAGCATCAATTAATCCTGAATCCTTCCATTCAGTGACCAAAGTCTCAGCATGGGAAAAGGCACAGCACCATTTCCAGCAAAACTTTGGAGCCAGGGAGTACTTAAAATTAAGACTGTGACCAGGACTAAGTGAAAAATCCTGTCCTGTGAGCACTTTGAATGAGGGCATCAAGTGGGCTCCCCTCCACTCCCCAGGGGAATTAGCAGCCATGCGAGAGCTTGCTACTAATGAGGGATGACTGGGAATGCCAGGCCGTGGTGCCAACGATGATTTGGGGAGCCACACAGCAGGCGAACATACAGAAAAGCTTTGTCAGATTTTATAAAGAGACATCCAAACCCCTTTCTAACTGTTACAGCTGGAGTGGGTAAGGGTAGAGCTGCCTAATAAGGGTTTACAGCAGCCAAAAAAAGCCACATTTGGCAGTGTACTACATTTTAAATTGGCATCAGAGATCATAATATTCTCCAAAACAAACAAGAAGATGGTTTACAAACATGGCTAGTGATTCTTTTGGCGGTACCCCTCCTCTCAGATGCACTGCTTGGCCCATCTTCAGGGCATCTGATTTTCTGAGCCTTTTGGGGTGCACACTTAAAAAGTCAGGTGCTTTTTTTTTTGTTTTTAAAGAGGTCTCAAGCTGGCTTCCTGCAAATGCAGGCACCCCAAAATTCCCTGTCACCATCAGAAGTTGTGACAAGCTTCTCACCCTCTTCTGTTCTTTTTTTCCCCACTTTAAATTAACCCAATTAAAGCAAATATTTGATGACTTGCTAGTACTAATAGCAGCTAGTATGGGATTTTCTGTTTTTGAGCACCATCTATTGACTACAAAACTGAGTCACAGGAATACCTAACTGCTAAAGACTCAAATCTCTACACTTAGCCCCTCGTCAGCTCGCCTTGGCTTACAATACAACAACCATAGGAAGAGAGTCAAGGCAGGGAGGAAGAATTTGTTTTGAAGTGAAAATTTAAAGACTGTTTTTCCCCTATTCAGGAAACAACATAAAAGTCAATCTGCTCTGCATAAGCCTTTCCAATTTATATTTCCAATTTTCCTTATCACTAGTATGGCCCAGATTTGAATGATAGGTACAAATGTTAAAGATTAAATCATAACTGACAAGAGAAGAACAGGGTAATGGATGTATCTGAGAGTTACCACCAGGAACCAACCATGATTAAAAGCAAAATGACCATACGGGTCATTTTCTTAAGACACCCCCAAGAATTCTGTAGTAAAACTGGCCAAGGACAGTCCCAAAAAGATAGCTTATCTGTTTTGTCAACTTCCTTCTCCCACACAAGCCTGAGAAGAAATGTTGAGTTGATGAACAGTACTACTATGGGTCTATATGTGCAATAACTGGGATGAGACATTCATGATGAGGATGTCTCATGCTTGGTTTTGCAACTGAGGCAGTGGGAAACGGATAAACTTCATATTGCCCAAATCGGTTTAACTTAGTCCCTATCCCAACAAGAAAAGTGTGTTGTTTTTTTAACTGGAAGTCTAAGGGCCCTGCCAGCACACACAACCAGTCCTTGGGCCGAGCCCAGGCTCATAGCATTAACTGTGATATTTTGGGATCTGGGTGCTAGAGATGCTGAGTGCAGTGCTTCATAGGCTTCTGCTCTGCAGATGGTGATCTGGATGTGTAGCACTCTGATCCGGTGTCACAGCAGGCCCTTTACTTTGAGGATACACCCAAGTATCCTCCCTTGAGCAGAGACAGAGATTGAGTTCTTGCAAGTATCCATGGTGTAAGTGATGCTCATTTGGTACAAAAGGCTTTCCATGCTGGTGTTTTCAAGACTGAAATCCCAGGACACTGATTATGCCATGCCCAACTCCAGATAAGCTACCTACATCTTTAAGGGAAAAGTAACAGTTATCAACTAGTAAAGACTTGCTAAGGCCTTGTGTAACTGTGTGATGCATGATGAAGCCTGCTCCTGCATGGAAGCAAACCTGTGTGATTGTTTGGTTTTAAATACAGAGCTCTTAAGGGAGTAAAAAGAGTTTCTCCGAATGTCCTTAATTCTTATTACATTCACTACTCAAGTAGGTCACCTCTGAACAGACAGAGAGAGAGAAACTCACTAAAATGCACTGACAGAAAGCTGCTGGGCTGGAGGGCAAGCAGGACTGCAAATGTCAGCTGAAGTGCTCGGAGAGTAATTGCACAGCAGACAAACTCCATGTGAAGCTGTGGAGTGAGAACAGGAATGTTAACAGTAGCTTCACTCATAGTGCTAAGGGCTTTCTTAAGGACTGGCAGGTTTTTGCCTGAAATTTTTGGCACAGGCCTTCAGATTACACCTGATCCAGCTCCAGCAATGACTC